GCTGGCAAGGCTCACTTCCTGGGAGACATCCCTGAGGAGAAGCCGCATGGACCTAGCCTGATGCAGCCCTGGGTGCTGGAGAAGCCGTATGGAGACCCCTGCCAGCAATGATATGCTTACATGCTCACTGATTTGGCTTTCCTCCTGCATTCGGCATTATTGCATGGGTTTTGTGAGTTTGAGGAGGACTTTGTGGATTGGTGTTGCACATATGGGTTAATGTTGGACTTGTGGGCTTGGGCAGCACTGGGTTGGGATGTTTTCTTGATGTGCACTTAACCTTTATATAAAACTGTCTCCTATACATGAGTTTCTGTGGATTTGTTTTTCTAATGTACCCAGACTAACACAGTAGGGAATTGTTTTTCCATCTGTGGTAGTGTTGGGAGCTGCTCTGAAAGCAGAGGTCTGTTCGGTCAAATGTGGATGTGCAGACACAGCTCTCTCACGGTCAGATTGTCTCTCTCACTGTCAGATTGACTTTTGTGCTTTAATGTTATTGAAACCATCAGGTGCTTAGCCTTGGGAAAAATATCTGCCAGACAAACAAGAACAAGGATGAGGGCGCTATTTTGAGCAATAGTACATTCCCGCTTCACAGTGTATAAAAGCTTGCTGGAAAATAAACTCAGGGCAGCAGTCTTGAATTGCAGTCCTCCTGACCCCAGCTTTTTTGTGTCTGTCTTTTCTCAGTCCTCACCCCCTCAGTTGAGTCCCCGTTGTTTTGCCGGCGGGCTCTGGCATGGTAGTTACATAATCTGTTGTCAATTTGAGACTATTAAGAGTGAAGGGGTAGCGTTTAGCCTATCAATCACATTACAGCTTGACGACCTTATTTGAATGACCTATTTGAAGGAGATAAAAAGTGCTCACTGGATGCAGAACACACAGACTCACTCCCTGCAAGACATTCTTGTGGACAAGACACATGGAGCTACATTAGAGTCCTGGAGCTGGAGAGCCACATGGAGACCCCTGCCAGCATTGAGATGCTTCCACTGCCACTGGATCCACAAGACTTCCCACCCACTGGCCTGTGATCTTCCTGCATTTGGAGTCATTGCATGTGTTTTGTGAGTCTGAAGAGGACTTTTGTGGGGTCTGAAGATTAGTATTGGACATATGGGCTAATATCGGACTTGTGGACTTGATCTGGACCGGGCTGGTATGTTTTCTTAATGTACAGTTGCTCTTTGATATAAAGTTATCTCTTACACACATATAAGTGAGTGTCTGTGGATTTGTTTCTCTAGTCTTCCCAGACTAACACATCATCTAAACGTGTATTCTAACCCTGCACTGCAGTCATTAATTTACTGTCTCTGCTATCATAAACTTTATGTTATACTTTACTTAGAAAGCATTGAAGTGACTTGTTTTTTACTCTCTCCCTATGGACCCACTGGTAATAACTCACTCCTGTAGCACTGACTTGTTTCCTAGAAACAGCACAAGTGGGACATTGATTGCTGTCCTAGCATTCTTATGACTATGCATCGCAAACAGATGTTTACACCAGTCAGCCCCAAGTGATTTCAACCAACCACACAAAACCAACTATCAGAAGTGGATATCCAGATCGTAGCAATGAATGTAGTTAATTCATGCTGCCATTTTAAACTACCTAGGCTAGGAAAAGAGCGAATAGCTCACATTAGTAACTAGTCCATAAAAAGTAATGTTTGCATAACAAATGGCACAAAGCTCAAAGAACATGACATGAACTGAAAATATGAATCTATGTTTAACAAATAATCTGACCTAGGGAGAATACAACTTGCTCAATATATGACCTTTACTGAGGGCTTTGTTAGTTCTCAACCCACTTTGGCTGTATCACAGGTTGGTTGCCATACAGGTTGGAGTGTCTCCCAAGGGAACTGGGGCACCATGTGAATGCATTCTGAGCACTAGGGAGTAACCACCGGGAGGAAGCTGACGTGTGTCAGTGTGAAGGAGCAGCTCTACAAAGCAGCCAAGAAGGGCTTGATTCCTTCACAAACTGGTGTGATGCTGAGATTCATGTGACACTGTGCAAGAACTTTTTGTGGCAGGCAGTAAAGCCTTGGGAATCTTCAAGTCCAAAGGACTTGCTCCCAATAGTCCAGAGGATCTCTACCATTTGGTTAAGGAAATGTTTGCTGTTCAAAAGCATCTTGAGAGGATCAAAAAGCATAAGGATGTGAAATTCCATCTGATTCTGACTGAGAACCGCATTGGCCCAATATTATAAGATGAAGAGAGTCCTACCCACCTCCCAAATTGGAAATATGTATCACCCACGGCCTCTGCCTTGGTTGCATAAATGGGTCTATGTATTTGAGCAATTAAACAATCATTTAACTACAACAATAGCAAGAGTAGAACAGTGTCTTCTCTTTCTGTTCCTGTTCCTTATGATTTTAATGCCAAAATGTCCCAACTGGACGTGCATTCTGACCTGGACCTCAATACAGTATTTCCACTGGTAGGTAGGGCCAAAGGAGAGGTACTCACTGTTCTGACACTGCCATTTACTTGTGTGGATCTCATGCTCATGGTGCTGTTCGGTTAAGTACTGGACTGCTAATACTAAGGTTGGGTGTTCAAACCCACCAACCACTAGGTAGTAGTAAGGACTTCTAGCCTTGGAAACCCTGTAAAATGTCACTAAGAATCTCAATCAACTCGATAGCAGTGGATTAGAAGTTTTAAAAACCTTTCCCAGTACTCTTTTCCAACATTTATTTTTGCCAGTTACTTAGAAATCCATTGCTATTGTATTAGAGCTTAATTTCTGAGCACTAGATTAGAGAAAGCCTGTGGTTTGCAGAAGGGACTCTCAATCCATTTCCCATCTTCCTATAGCTTCAGTCTCCATAGAGATTCTAACCATTGACTGGCTAAGAAAAAAGCTTTGTCCTCGGGCAGAATGTTCCAAAGATGGCTGCAACTCCCCTGTCCAGCAGAAGGAGGGGCAATTTTGGCCCCAGGAACTTACCAAGGAGTACTCTTGGCAGACATTAGGGTGTTAGGGTAATGTGGCTATGGGTCATACCCCAATCAAGGTGATTGGAAGACCCAGAACCAATCTTGTAACTTCTAATCTGCAATAATGTAGTTATTCCCATTCATGGTCTCCTCCCACTTCTGTGGCCCTGGCTGCTACTGTGATGAATCCATCTGCCAGCAGTCATGATTTCATGGATTTCCTTTGTGTTCCACTGGAGGCTTAGTGGGGTTCATGTGGCTGCTAATTACACGGTCAAGGGTTCGAAACCACTGACTGCTCTGAGGGAAAAACATGAGACTTTCTACTTCAGTAAAGATTTACCATTCTGGAAACCCACAAGGGTTGTTCTACTCTGTCCTATAGGATTGCTATAGGTCAGAATTGATTCAATGGCTGTACGTTTTTTGTGTTCCATGTCCTATTTAAGTGACTGAATCCTTAGACACCTTTATGGTCTCATGCTGTGGCCCTGCTCATCACATCATTTATCTTTGCCTTCTTTTTAAACTATTTATTTTTATTATTATTACTCACAATCCATACATCTATCCATTGTGTCAAGCACATTTGTACATTTGTTGCCACCATCATTCTCAAAACATTTGCTTTCTACTTGAGCCCTTGGTATCAGCTCATTTTTCCCTCCCTCCCCCTCCCTCCCTTCCTGATGAACCCTTGATCATTTATAAATTATTATTATTTTTCCATGTCTTGCACTGTCTGATGTCTCCTTTTAGTCCCCTGTCTGTTGTCCATCCCCCTGGGAGGGGGTTATAGATAGGTCATTGTGATCGGTTCCCCCTCTCTCCCCCAGCTTCCCCTTACCCTCCTGGTATGGCCACTCTTAATATAGGTCCCGAGGCGTTTATCTGTCCTGTATTCCCTGTGTTTCCAGCTCTTAACTGTACCCATGTACATGCTCTAGTCTAGCCAGATTTGTATCTCTTTGCCTTTTTTAAGACTTAATAACGGAGTCTCTATAAATTGCATGGGAATGTGGGGCTCTCCTTTCCCCCTAAAACAGAATCACCAGGAAAATGTTCTCAAGGAGGGAGGGAAGGAGAGAGAGAGAGAGAGAGAGAGAGAGAGAGAGAGAGAGAGAGAGAGAGAGAGATTGATTTACCGTATACTGGAGAAAACGGGAGGAAACATTTTTAATGTAGTCTTCAGCAAAAGCAAAATATTTGGGCCCTTTCTTCTCTGCCACAATACATTCAAACCCAGGAACTTTCTTACTGAATTTGTCATTTCTGCCTGTCCCTGAATGTTGGTTGCTGTTGTAGAGCCAGACGAACTTCTCATGTGAGCTAAAAATCCAGTTCCATTTCTTTGGAGAGTGAATGACATGCTGATGACGATCCCGTCCATGTGTCTGCAGACTTGGAGCGGCATTGGGTTTGTTCTGCTGGAGAGTGGTGTCAAACCAGCAAGGCTTCCAGACCTGTGCCTTCGCCACAGTTACGAACAAGGTAGAAGGGTTGCAGAGCGTGTTCAGCATTTAAGCGTTTTGCTGTATAAAGAGAAGAAAAGACCCAAACCCCAAGTCCTCTTCCGTTTGCGATGAATAGCGCCTCTGGCCAGGGACTTAGGGAGATTGGAGTTTTTGGATAATGGCCGTCTGTTCACAGTCCAAGTTTCGAGAAACACGGATAGAAGAGAGGTATATAAATAAAGTGGGCTCCGTGCCCTGAGGAGACCTCTCTGGTTTTCCTGCAGACAGCCTCTTGAGAAAGAGCAGGGGAGCGAGCCAAGAGAAGGAGGAACTCATCTAAATTCCTGTCTCTTTCTGCCATCCCGGTTGCTAGCAACCAAAGAAAGCTCCCGCGTTGCTTGGGGACCAAACCTGCAGCTGCCTGCTGGACAAAGCCCCGCCCCGCCCCGCCCTCCAGCGTCCGCGGCCAATGGGACGCTGGCGGGTTCCGGAGCGCGGCCAATGGGAGCCGCGGGTCGCGGTTTGCTGCCCTTTAAGAAGTAATAGGGGAGCTCGCGGCTGGGAGCTCAGCGCCAGGGTCTGTCGCCAGCGGTCCTTCTTTGACCATGTCTCTACAGGTAACCCAAAGGTGGGAGCCCGCGCGGGACGCGGGAAGCCAGAGGTGATGGGGCCTGCAGGGAGGAGCTGAGGGAGGGATGGGAGAGGGTCCGTGCGACGCCCCGGGAGACGAGGCGCCAGCGGGAGATGAGAGACTGGAGATCCAGCGCTCCAGGCGTCACCTGCGCGTCTCCCGCGCTTTCTCGGAGCGGTCCAGTATAAGTGTGTTGAGTCCTCGGTGACCCGGAGCGGACCCACTCCTACCCCTTTCCAAGAGCCCTTTTACTGCAAGTATAGACCGCCCCAGTGTCCTCCGTTGACGACGAGCTGGGGCTCCCGATGGCAGCTCCCCTGAGCCCCTGGGATTCCGCCACTCCTGGGAGGGCGGCACCGGCTGGCTTGTGTCAACACGTCTTTCTTCCCTTCTGGGAGAGGAAGGTGCCCCCCCCACACACACCCCCCACTCCCCGAGTTCTCACTCCCTTTCTGAAGGGCAGAGATCTGTAAAACCCCAATTTAAAAAAGACTTCTTGGGGGGAGCGGGGAGGAAGGGGAAAATGAAGAGTTGATGCCAGGGGCTTAGGTGGAAAGCAGATGTTTTGAGAATGATGAGGGCAATGAATGTACAGATGTGCATTTGATGTAGGTGTGGATTGTGATAAGAGTTGTATGAGCCCCTAATAAAATGATTTTTTTTAAAAGACTTCTTCTGGTAGGTGAGGATGTATGTGCCCCGAATAGAAACGTTTGAAAAAGCTAACAGTTAGCATGCTAGTTCTTTGTATATATTTTTCATCTGTGAGTATGGGCTTGTGCAGAGCTCTGGGCGCGCTCTGACACCCACGCCCACGCACCGTGGTGTTGTGTGTATGGTTTTGTTCCTGTCCTTAACATTATATTGTGAGCAATTTTCATGATGAAATATTCTTCTAAACTGTGACTTTAAAGAAAGGCTTAAGATTTCATGGGATGCCTAAGTTGTTTCTGTAAGCAGTGGTTTTCTTGGGTGGGGGACATTATCCGAACGCGCCTGGATTCAAACCTCTTCTGTCTGGAACGTAGTTATTTAACCTCTGTTGTCTCTCCGTTTCCTTCCCCGAAAAATCAAAGTGACTCCTGTGTAGATGAAATGAGATGCCCACTGAAACCAGTGATTATTTTCCTGCTGCTCTTTCTGGCCATCCAGTGGACTCTCGCTCGCAGCCATCCTACATAGCTAGCGAGCATTTAGTAAGTGCCCAGTATAAGTGTGTTGTTGAAATTTTAGATAGAGCACTTATGGTACATTTCCCTCCACTTATGTGTGACTTATGTAATTCATCACGTACCTTCCCCCAAATAATAATTTAAAAATTCAATATCAACGTTTTCTTTAAATTAAAAAATCTGAAAGGTTCCTTTAAAGACTACCGGCCAGGATGATCTCATTGAGAGGGATGCCATTTAAATCGATGCTGCAGCATTTCCTGATTATCGGCCAGAAGTGCAATGTGTATGCACAGAGGTTACAATGGCTCAACCTCATGCTGCACTTTACACTAACATATAAAAAAATACTCTTCGTAGTTATTTAGGCTTAAACTTACTCACAGTTAGGATATAAGAGGTGAGGGATCCCATAGGAAAGCAATCTATGCCAGGAGGTATCAGCAACAAACACTGCATGATGTTTGTTAACGATCTGTTTGCGTCTTTGGAGCAGTGGAGGAGATAACTTTTTAACATGGCAATCGCCAGTTACGGACTGACTTGTAGTTAAACACTTTCCTCTTTATAATGTAAGTGGTTTGCGTAGGTACGTAGGCTTCTGTTTCATCAAACTACTCCCAGCGACTCACTTAAACTCATGACCCGGTAGGACGGGGTTGAATTGCCCCTGTGGATTTACAAGACTGTCATCTTCAGGGGCGTAGGAAGCCTCGTCTTGGTCCTTCCCATTGTGAGCAGGCCCACATGTAACACATCCTGCCAGCAGAGCTCTCTTTCGGAAGAAAAGATGATTGATCAATGGTAATTATTTTTCTCTTGCAACTTTAATAAGTGCTACTGACAGACTCTCATGGAGGTAGTAATGCAATTGGAATTTCTAGGGCACCTGTAACCTCTGAACTGTATTTTAGAAGAACAAAACGTTTATCTCCTCAGCAAATCTTTGAGGAGAGTTAATAGCCATCTAAACTGTACATATTTATTTCTCAGATAATGAAACTGAGAGGGAGACTGCTCCTTCAAAAAATGCATCTTTTGGGTGTCTAGGGTGTCCATAATTTTACAATGGGCACACACAAAACCTCTTCCCCCTACGCACATGCTTGAGTGGTCTAAGAACAGCTCAGTTGCTTAACTTTGAGAGATGTTCTCTACTTCAGTTTCCCCGTGGGGAAGAATTGCTCAAAGGCATTGTCAGTCCTGCGCTCTTTGGCTGCTGAAAGTAAAGTTAGATTTACATCTGAGTCAGCCTCACCTATGGTGAAATTGGCAAGAAAGTTTGCACAGAAACCAGTTGTTAGGGGTTGAATTGTGTCTCCTTTAGTTCACCTTTATGCTAGTGTTTATCATCCCATGTGGGAATGGGTTCTTTGCGATGGTAAGGAGGCAGCATGAGTATAGTGGATGCTGCTGAGCCAACCTCTTCTGAAGTAGAACAGAGATTCCAAAGCAGAGATGGGGGAGGACACATGCCAAGCCACATGAAGCTCTCCCAGGAACAGAAGCTCAAAGAAATAAGGACCTGCCTCCAGAGCAGATAGAGAGAATGCCTCCAGTGGAGTAAACCCCAACCAAATGCACTGCCATCGAGTTGAGGCCCCCTGAATGTAGACTTCTAGCCTCCCAAAGGGTGAGAGAGTAGATTTCTGTTAGTTAAAGCCACTTACTTGTGGTATTTCTGTTTGGGCGGCAGTTGAACAGACTCCCCACTATTAGATGGTGAAGGCCCCGTTCCTCTCCAGAAGGGGAGGAGGACCCATTATGTATGTCAGCGGTCACTACTACTAGAGGTGGGACCAAGGAGTGGCCTGGAGAATCATGAACTGGGGAGGAGCATTCAGGCAGGTTGTTTTGAAGAATCCCAAGCCCACTGGAGAGGGAAGGGCGAACCAGCCTAAGTGCAGCTCCTCAGCAGCATAGGAATAATACTACCTGTGATTTCTTTTGCTCACAATCCTTTGGACATAACGTAAGTAGTTGTACATTTCAGAGCTGCCTCTCACCTATTATTACTCTCGGCCTAGGAAAACTATTAAGTGCTTGGCTGCTAACTAAATGGTTGGAGATTCAAGTTCATCCAAAGGTGCTCTGGAAGCAAAGCCTGACAATCTATTTCAAAAAAATTAGCCATTGAAATTTTTATGGAGAACAATTCTACTCTGACACATATGGGGTCACACCATGAGTCAGAATCAACAGCAACTGGTGTATATATGAGGGGGCTACCCCCAAAAAACCTGGAATTGTGCTGGGTGGAGCAGAGTTTTGGTAGCATGCATTTTCCCCTGCTAGGCGAGTATCAAGCAATTCACTCTGAGTTAGTGCATCCAGTGGCATCACCTGGGAAGGTTTTCTCTGGTCACAGCGATTTTTTTTTCTTTCAGAAAAGCAGTTTCACCGGAACCTTGTTTTTTTGTGATGGCCAATTTAAGAGAACAGCATGCGGCTATAAAATTTCATTAAAAAAAAAAATTTCATTTCCTGCTCTAGGACAAAATGCTGCAGAAACTGTTGTGATGTTGAACACAGCTTACAAAGACAGTGCTGTGGGAAAATACTCAAGGGTACAAGTGGTTTTCTCGTTTCGATAAAAGGTGAAATGTTGATTGATGACAAACCTCATTCTGGACATCCGGTCAACCCCCCAAACATGAAAATGTTGACTCATATGCATTTGGGGTTCATTCCTCTAGTTCGGACTATTAATCAAGCTCTCTATTATGAGGTTCTGAAAAGATAGCATAATAGTGTGTGACAAAAAAGTCCTGATTTGTGGCAGACGGGGGACTGGTTTTGCTAACACGACAATGCACCTGCTCATGCAGCCATCCCAGTGCACTAGTTTTTGGCAAAAGACAGCTTGCCTGTCTTGCCCCACACACCTTATTCACCTGACCTCACTCCATGTGACTTCTTTTTGTTTCTTTGAACGAAGAGGGACATGAAAGGACAGCAATTTGATGACATAGAAGAGGTGAAGAAAAACTGAGGGAGGTACTGTCAGCCATCCAAACTGATGAGTTTGAAAAATGTTTCCAAGAATGAAATTTCAGATTTAACAAATGCATTAAGTGCAATAGACAGTACTTTGAAGGTGATACCGTTGTTTTGCAAGAAAATTTAAATACATAGCTTTTGAAAAAAAATTCCAGTTTTTGGAGGGTACCCTCTTTTATGTATGCATAGGAACATATATATGTTATACATCTATATATGTTCACTTATTAATTCACCCAGCAAGTACAAACCAGGACCCAGCCTAAGCTAATACCACCTGTTAGACCTCTGTACATGTCTCTGGTGGCACTGTGGTGAAAGCACTCCACCCCTAACAAAAAGCCTGCCGTTTGAACCCACTACAAACATGGCAGCATGCTTCCTTAAAATGTGCAGCCTTGGAAACCTTCTAGGCCCCTGTGGGTTGGAATCTACTCCAGGCAATGCCTTAGCCCTCTATGGGGCACTGCTGCTGCGACAAAGGCGATATGGCGATGGGGTGGAACAAACAATCCCACCTGTCTTTCTGCTGAACATTCCCTCGTACATGCTGTCCAAGCTACCTGCAACACTTTTGCCTACTCTGTCTTTTAGCTAGCACTTGCTGATCCCCCAAGCTCTGTGTTAAAATAAAAGTAAGGTATTTATTGAAGGTAAGCAATTTGCAAAATTCCAAAGTACAGAAAATGAGTTCTTTTATATAGAAGTTTAGGGAAACAGTAAATTCGTCCTACGATAGCAACTATAAGTTACACATCAGTATAAGTTACACATAGATGTCCTGTAAGTAAGCTTTTCCAAAATAATGGTTTTC